ACTTCCCTACCAATTATGATCATGAAGCTTAAACATTGGCAGCAGTTTCAGAGATGGAGGGCGGGCCACTTCCAACATGCGGCTCTCGCCTTAGCGCTGCGCCCGTGCGTCTTAACCACTCGCTTGCAAGAGTTTCACGGACTGAAGGCGGGAAGTTTTCAAAATGCGGCTCTCGCCTGAGCGCCGCGCGCATTCGTCTGACACATGTTCACGAGCTTCACGGCTTGAGGGCGGCTCCTGTTCAAAGTGTGGCTCTCGGCTTAGCGCCGCGCGCATTCCTTTCAGACATCTGCGAGAGTTTCACGGGTTCCCATGGCTGATGTACCAGAAATGGTGTTTTGGAACGGTTTAGGATTGTCAGGGCGCAGCGGTTACGATGATCCGCGGTGTTGAAATCCCAGGAATGGTGTCCTGGCGTGGCACGATTCAGGATCGTCAAGACGCAACAGTCAGGTTGATTCGTGTCGCTGGAGTCCCGAGAATTGTGCTTTGGCACGCATCAGGGCACTTCCCTCCATGGATTGCTCGCCTCCTGCGCCTCCGCCTCCGCCTCGGGCTCCTCCTCCTCCTCCTCCACCTCCTCCTCCTCCTCCTCCTCCTCCTCCTCCTCCTCCTTCTCTCTCCTCCCCCTCCCTCTGCTCCTGCTCTCCTCCTCCTCCTCCTATTCCTCCTCCATCCCTTCCTGATAAATGACTCCCCGTGTCTCGCACTCCGGGATGTGTTGGTAGGGCGGGCCGGGCGTTTCGCCTAGAACGTCCTCACCAGTCACGGTCCCTGCATTTTGAGTTTGCAACACTTTCACTGATGGAGGCCGGGTCGTTTTCGAAATGTGGATCTCACCTTAGCGCCGCGCATTCGTTCGAACAGTTTGCAAGAGCTTCACAGATGGAGGGCTGGTCGTTTTCGAAAAGTGGCTCTCGCCTGGGCGCGGCGCAGATTCGTCTTAAGAGTTTACAACCCTTTCAAGGATTATGCTGGTCAATATCCCAGAAGTGATGCTTCGACACGATGTAGGACTTTCAGGACATGGCACAAAATTGATTCGCGGTGTTGAAGTCCCAGGGATAATATTGTGGCACGGGTCAGGATTGCCAGAGCAAAACAATAAAGTCGATTCGCGGTGTTGATTTGCATGGAATGATGTTTTGGCACGGCTCAAGGATTTTCATACGGATGTCTTGTAACGGGGCACTTCCCCTGGTGGCAATGGAACCTTGTATGGGACCTTTGAAGAGGGAGCTTGGAGGGAGGGCATATTCCAACATCGTTGACGATTCTTTGGTTTACACAAGTCCTCCACCTCCTCCTCCTCCTCCTCCTCCTCCTCCTCCTCTTCCTCATCATCCTCATTCCTCCTCCACCTCCTCCGCCTCCTCCTCCGCTTCCTTATAAATAACTCCCCCATGTCGCACCCCTAGACGTGTCGGTAGGGCGGGCCAGGCGTTTCGCATGCGACGTCCTCATCATGTATGATCCTTCAGCTTGAATGTCGCAGCAATTTCACGGATGGACGGCGGACCGCTTTCAAAATGAGGCTCTCGTCTCAGCGTCGCGCACATTCATCTCAAATACTTTCAAGAAGTTCGCCGATTGAGGGCAGATCGTTTTCAAAATTTGGCTCTCGCCTAAGCGCCGCGCACACTCATTGCAAACTGCTGCAAGAGTTTCACTGATGGAGGGCGGTCCGCATTCAAAATGAAGCTCTCGTCTTAGCGCCGCGCACAATCGTTTAAAAAAAAAGCAACAGCTTCACGTTGAAGGCAGTACCTGCTCAAAACGTGGCTTTCGCCTTACCGCCGCGCGCATTCGTCTTAAGACCTTACAACCATTTACAGGATTCCCATTGCTAACTTTCCAGACAGGGTACTTTGGCACCATGTAGGACTGTCAGGGCGCAACGGTTACGTTGACTCGATTTGTTGAAGTCCCAGGAATGATGCTCCGGCACGGATCTGGATCGCCAAGGCGCAGTAACACGGCTAAGTCATGGAGTTGAATTCCCAGGAATGGTGCCCTGGCACGGTTCAGGATTTTCAAACCCAACGGGGCACTTTCCCCAGTGGAAATGAACCCCTGTAGGTGCCTCTGAAGAGGGAGCTTGGAGGGAGGGTTTATTGCAGCATCGCCGATTAGTCTTGGATTTGCACTGGTCCTCCTCCTGCTCCGCCTCCTCATTCTGCTCCTGGTCCTCCTCCTCCTCCTCGTCCTCCTCCTCCTTCTCCTCCTCCACCCTCCCACATCACTTCCTCCCTCCATCCCTTCCTCCCCACCTCCCTCTTCATCTTGATCCCCAGAGCGTGTGCTAGCGCCTGCGTGTGTGCCCACCGAAACCTTGGGCCTCGGGCTGCCGCGAGAGGACCGCGGCGCCCCAGGGATGGGTCGCGAGACTCAGGACACAGAGGTACTCTTGATTTGGCTGGGTCGACCTACTAATCCGGGCCGACTGCACACAACAACAAACTTTCGGAGGTCCGCGCGGACTCCTCGGATCTCGTCGCTGGGCCCCTCCCCGGCGCGCGGAGCAGGCCGGGGGGCGGCACCAGAGGCGCCGCCAGAGCTTCAAGCGCAGATCCAACCATTTGCGCGGACCCCCGAAGCTTCCTGTGCATGTCGCTGGTTGATCTGGTCACTCTTCTTATTCATTGCCCGTTTCTGTTGTTCCTCCTGTGGGGAACGAATGGAAGGAAAGAGTGGAGTAGGAGGGGGAGGAGGAGGAGGAAGAGGAGGAGGAGGACGAGGACCAGTGTAAACCCAAGACTCATCAACGATGTTGAGATACACCCTCCCTCCAAGATCCCTCTTCGCAGGCCCCTTCATTTTCACAGAAAGAATTGCCTCGTTGGAGGACAACCGTGTAAACATCTTGAAGCGTGCCAAAGCACCACTCTCAGGCCTTCAAAGCCACGAATTAACCTGACTGTTCCAGCTTGGCGATCCTGAATCGTGCCAGAACGCCGTTCCTGGGACTTCAGCATCGCGAACCAGCGTAACTGTTGCGCCCTGACAACCCAGAACCGTTCCCAAGCATCATTTTTGAAACGTTAACCATGAGACCCAATGAAACGCTTGCAACAAATAAAACGAATGTTCGCGGCGCTGCGGTGATACCAACCTTTTGAAAACGAGCCGCCCTCAATCCGTGAAACGATTGCAGTTGTTAAAAAATGAGTGACCGTGCGCGGCGCCAAGGCGAGAACAAACATTTGAAAACGAGCCGCGCTCAATCCTCGAAGCTGTTGCAATTGTTTGTACGAATGTGCGCGGCGCTGAAGCGATATCCACATTTGGAAAAAAAACGATCCGCCATCAATCCGTGAAGCTCTTGCAACTTTCTGGCGAGAGCCACGTTTTGAAAAAACACCCGCCCTCCGTGTGTGAAAGGGCCGTCAAGTATCAACTAACAGGGTCATAAATGGTGATGACGTGTTCGGCGAAAACGCCCAGCTCGCCCTTTCGACCAGCCCCAGGGTGCGGAAAGGAGGAGTACTCTCGAAGGAACAACAAGAGAGGAGGAGGAGGAGGAGGAGGAGGAGGAGGAGGAGGAGGAGGAGGAGGAGGAGGAGGAGGAGGAGGAGGAGGAGGGAGAGGAGGATGAGGAGGAGGAGGAGGAGGAGGAGGAGGAGGAGGAGGAGGAGGAGGAGGAGGAGGAGAGAGGAGGAGGGGGGGAGGAGAAGGAGGAGGAAAAGGAGGAGGAGAAGGAGGAGGAGGAGGGGGAGGAAGAGGAGGAGGAGGAGGACGAGGAGGAGGAGGAGGGGGAGGAGGAGGAAGAGGAGGAGGAGGAGGAGGAGGAGGAGGAGGAGTCACGACGCCATAGAGGAAACGGGAACCCTGGATGTCGAACTACTGGCAGCGCGTTCGCACGGCGACGGACCGCCTGGCTAGCGCGCGCGTTGGGGCCTCATGTGCTGGACGGCCTTCACCTGAGAGTACATACCCGGGGTGTCTTGTGAATGGAAATAGCTGGGACCAGAATCCGCAGCTGAAGAAGCAGCTCTCTGATGCTCCCTTGGAGACAGCAAAAGCACTGCTTGTGATGAACTCGTCTAAACCATCATGCGGGGCCCAGTCAGTCGGGAAAGCAGGGATGGCACGAGCAACAGCATGAATGGGGGGTAGGGGTAGGGTTCGCATGTGGCCCCCTAATGAAAGAGCATGGGCAAAAGTCGTGGGCCAGAGAGTCTCCGACACGTGTCGGGGCACCGGGAAGGACACGGAATAGTGGCTCTCGGCGGAGACGTTTCAAGGCCACCCACGAGTTACACGCATGCCTTAGCTTCTAGCCTGCTCCTTCCGATGTACTACAGTCAAAAACCCGAATAAGGACGCGCGGCAAGGACGCAAGAACCTTGGAAGCCGAAGTTGGGATCTTTTGGGGCGGCGGACGACGAAAACCTCAGGGACGCAGGAGCAAGGAAGAGCAAGGACGCAAGGGCACCCTGAGCAAAGTCGCGCGTCCTTATTTGGGTGTTTGACTTGTTTTTTCTTCTGGTGCGCGGCCGCAAGAGCATGAGCCAGCACGCTGTAGACGCCTAGGGCGTTCGGTATAGGAGTGGGCCCGCAACCGAGTGGTGCTGGCATCGCGCCATGGTGCACCAGCATGCAGCATGTAGCTTGGGTTTTTGACTATATGTACACGGTCATCAATAAGTCGAGGTTGGAAACGCACTGTTCCGCATCATCAACGTGCCCCCTCCGCGGCAGTCACGATCCGAGCTTCAGGCCGCGCGTGGCCTGAGGCCCGATGCGGCTGGGCACGGTGAGCGCTGGGAAACGCAGCTGCCACAACAAACTGCATAATTACCCTGGCGGAGCCGCCCCCTAGATTTGTGGATCCCATGAGAATGGACACACTAACAAACCTCTATCATTGAATGAAAGATGCACTTAAAATGTGTAAAACATGTTCTAAACATGTTTCCAGCATGTCTTAGCACATTCAAAGCATGTTTGAAACATACTTTGAACATCTGGGAATTATATGGCAGCATGCTTCCTCTCCATTAACCGACTTCCACGACCCTTGATGGCGCTGCGCCCGAGCAGCACGATCTCGAGGTCAGGGATGCCGTCAACGACCTGCCGGCCTGGAACAACGCCACGCTGGCGCGGGGCAGCGGCGCGAGCTGGAGAGCGAGGTAAAGACTAGCACGGGCAGAGTATCTGAACGCATCTTGACCCTGCCCCCCTCCGCCTCGGAAGGAACGCGGCGAGGCGCTCGTCAAAATCAGCAGGCAGAACGCCTCGCTCAAAAGCTTGGTCGCAGGCGTCGCATAGCAGGCCCCCCTCCAAAAGAAACAAACCTTCCAGCAGCTGCGGACCATATCCCCACCCCTGGCGCGGAAGCCCTCAGACGAGCGATGCGTTCGCAGAACTCCTCCTCGCAGAGCCTCCGCTCGGCGTGAGTTGGCGCCGCCTGGGCGGAGCGGTCGAACGACTGCAGTGCGGATCTGGCAGGCCCACCCATCCTGCGCACCTCCTCCCAATGATCGGCAAGACGTTTGGAGCGTTCGGCAGGCTCGGCCCGGTCTCGGGAGCGGCCAAGAGGGGGGTGTCCGAGAGGGGGGAGTGCCAATCATGACCGGCGGCACGTGCGCGGCCCAGCGGGGGGGCCAGGGACGTACTGAAACAAGAAGAGGCGCCATAAAATCTGGGGAAATCTCATGGCCCCCGCCATGATATCCACCCCCCCCTAGTCATCCCCCCCCCCTTTTTTCCGCTCAGGAGGAGGAGGAGGAGGAGGAGGAGGAGGAGGGAGGGAGGAAGAGGAGGACGAGGAGGAGGAGAAGGCCTGGAGGCCTGGAGGCCTGGAGTCATCACCCCCCTCTTTGCCGCCCCCGACGGTCGGCCATCGCAGCTCCGGGTCGCAACACATGCCCGCAGGCGGCGCCGCGCCTCCGACGGCGGTCCGAGCGGCGCGCTGCAGAGGGCCGAGGCGCCTGGCCTGGGCATCCTCCTTCTCCTCCTCCTCCTCCTCCTTCTCAACCTCCTCCTCCTCCTCCTCCTCCTCCTCCTCCTCTCCTTCCCCTCCTTCCCCCTCCTCCTCCTCCTCCTCCTCCTCCTCCTCCTCCTCCTCCTCCTCCTCCTCCTCCTCCTCCTGGGAGAGGGCGCCGACTTCCTCGGCCGACGCTCGAACGTTAGAACCTGCAGATGACTGGCGAAAGGCGCCTCGGCGGACCCGGGCGCCGTCGCCTGGACAGGGGAGACGACGACAGAGCGTGGGGTGAACGAGCAGCGCGGCAGAGAGCAGCAAACCAGCGTTCTCGCAGAGCTCGCATCGTTGCGAACATCCAACAAACCCTCGTCGCGCAGAGGCGTGGCTCCTTTCTCCTCCCTCCTCCTCCTGGACATCCCCAGCTTCATGAAAGACGTATGATTGCTCCGGCCCGTCCTCCAGCTCGCCCTCCAGGTGCACCGCCTGGAGAACATCCTCCATCTCCTCCTTGAACTCCACTGTATTGGATAGCCAGGCCAGCAAAGAGTTGTGCCTTGGGAGCCGGCGCTCTCCAAGGCCAAGAAGCATAGGGGGCGCGGTTGCTGCGCCAGTTCGAATCGCCGTTTCCCGCCGCCTCCGTCGTAGGCTGCAAAGGCGAGGGGGAAGGACAAACGTGAGGAGACACGGAAGGAGGGGACCAAGGCTGGCGAACTGGCGAGGCTAAAACGGCAGGGCGTGACATGTTTCAGCTCTCCGAATACACAGTCAAGTTTCCCCGGCTCCCACACTAGATAGGTTTTCTTTCGATTTTGCACAGTGCTGATATTCGCGCGGCATTCAAGAGCATCGCGCGTTTCTTTATATGCGCCTTGGCACTGCTATCTCGAATTTACATCCTAAAATTGTCAACGCTTCTCCCTCTGCAGGGAAGCCGTAAATGCTGTCCACTGGCTGGCCTTTAGGGAACGCCAAGCTGCCTGAGCCAACTGCGTGGACGCGGTCTGCCTGTTGGAAGTCGCCGACCATGCTGTCCAGGTTGCACCATTGATTCCGCGACGGCCCATCGTACTTCGGTATTCATTTGGAGCAATAGTTGTTGTGAATTCCTTCCAGCGCAATTGCTTCTTCAAGCTGCTCGAGTTCGAAAATTTTGCATTCGCTCTCACGGGCTCGTCTGCAGGAACAAAACGTTTTTTGTGACGCTGCACTGGCTAGCCATGCATTTCGTATGTCGTCTCGGGCACTGCGGACGTCCGTCTTGGCGGTCTCCAGCTCCTCCAGACCACGGCAAGAACTTGCAGACGTCACCTGCACCTCTGCGCATGCTTGACCAGCCTGTGCTAAACGAGCGCGAGACAGCCATGTGCCAGCTGATAGTCAGGAAGCCCACCAGCGAACAACCTGCTCCTCTCCATGATTACCTTCGACTCGGTTTTGCTCGGCACCCGTTTGCTTCATGTTTAGCCGATACTCCTCGACCTCCTGCTCATCCTCTTGTCCGCTCTCCATGAACTTCATCATTCTCCTTTGGTGAACTCTGCAATGGTGACTCTTCGCTGTAAGCCTCCAGTCCGGATAAAGGGCGAGGACATCCAAAACGTTTCTCCACAAACGGGACCGATGGTGACGTCGAGTGACAGCCGATGAACGTCCAAGTCCGCTCGTGTGGGCAATCCCCACGACCTCCAACAGCAGAGCGCTTCATCAACCGCGGAAGTATTAGGTTGCGCCCCAGAAGCATCCCGCTCCAGAACGTGAGTGGCAGCCAGAAAGTAAATTCAACCCGCGCGCGTTGTGGATTTCCCTGCAACTCGACGCGCGGGCGAGGACATCCGAAACAGGAGCGGCCTGTCCATTATAAGAACAAGCAATGTGGGATCTCGCCCGAAAAAGAGATGCTGGCCTGTTGTGCGTGTCGCGCGCGTGCCTGTCTCGAACTCTTTTGCGTCTCTGCATGCTTGCAGGAGGTCACACACGGAACAGACATGGCGGCACTCGCAATTGTGTACGACTGGGCCTTCCCACCCCTGGCCTCGGAGGGAAAGTGATCACAGGCCCTGAGGTTGCGTAAGGCGGAAGTGTGTGTGTGTGTGTGTGTGCCCTCCTGGCGGGCTGGAGATCCTTCCGACCAGTCCCGCGGCAACCTAGGAGGATGAGGAGGAGGAGAAGGAAGAAGGGAGGCCTCGTCAGTACCACCATGCAGTCACAAGGAACCTGGAACCAGAAGGAAGAAGAGCAGGAGGGATGATGATGATGATGATGATGATGATGATGATGATGATGATGATGATGATGATGATGATGATGATGATGATGATGATGATGATGATGATGATGATGATGATGATGAGGAGATGAGGAGGAGGAGGAGGAGGAGGAAGAGGGAGGAGGGGAAGATGGAAGAGGGGATCGGGAGGTTGAACAGGAGGGAAGAGGGAGGAGGAGGAGGAGGAGGAGGAGGAGGAGGAGGAGGAGCAGCAGGAGCAGGAGGCGGAGGAGAAGAAGGAGAGACGAGGAAAAGGAGGAGAAAAAGGGAGGAGGAGGAGGAGAGAGGAGGAGGAGGAGGAGGAGGAGGAGGAGGAGGATACTGATGAGGGGGAGGAGGACAGGAGGCGACGCCCGCGGCCCTGCGCCCGGAGACCGTGCTCCCCTGGAGGGCCGCCCCGCCGCTGCGCCCGCGGGCGCGGCGTGCACGCTTTCGAGCGCGAGTGCCTGGCCTTGGCCGGGGTGACGCCGCGAGGGCTTTGATCGGGTCGGGCGAAAGGGGGGGATAGCAAAGGGGGGGTTTGATAATCAGCTCACGTAGCTGATTTTCCCGGCGCCTCCCGGCGCCGGGAGGCGCCCATGTATCGAGGAATGGACCCCTCGGTGGGGCCGAAACCAGCTGCATGAAGCAGATTTCGTAACCCCCCCTTTCCCAATCCCCCCCTTTCGCCCGGCCCGATTTGAGCAGGGACCGACCGTCCCGGCATTCCCATAGTCCTACCGCGAAATGTTCTTGGAACCGACAGACCCAGACCCCCTCGAGGAATGAAAAAATCACGACGGGAGGTTTTTCGCCATTTTCGGCCTCTGGGGGCCCTCGCCGGGCCTCGGGAGCGTCAAAAAACGACTCAGGACGACAAACCGGTCCCGGGGAATGGGTCGGGACCTCTGGGGGTCGCGTCATGAAAAAATCATGACGTCGGGGGTCTGGGGATGTTCTAATAACAAAAACAGTGTTCTCAGAACAGAAGCCCGATGTGTGAAAACAGGACGGTCCCGGCCAGGAATGTTCTAGGAGCATTTCGAAGGAACCTCCAAAGGTTCTCAGAACAGTGTTTGGTGGGGCTATAGGCGAGCTGGGACGCTTCGCCACTGCTTGATTGAAGGCGTCGCGGCGCCCCGGGGTGTCTGCGGGCTCGCGGCGCCGAGGAGGTCGTCCTCTGCTTCTCGGCGATACGGTCAGCCCACATAGTCAGGAGGCGTGGTAAGGACCCAGGGGCCTCGGAGGGCCATGCTGACGTTTCTCAGAGGAGATTGGCCGGCGGAAGGCGCCAAGGATGGGCCGAAAGGGCAGGGATTAAAAGGGCCCCAGAACACACAAATAAATACACACAAATAAAAATATTCCCCATATTTTCTCATATTTTCTGGGTTTTTGTCTCCCCCCCCCAATTCCCATATTTTCGCATATTTTCCTGGGGATCGACGATTAATTGTGTCTGTGTGTTTTTTCCCCTCCTGAGGGATGCAAGGGTAGCCTTGGAAAGCTGCGCATCCTTGCCATGCGGGTTGACTGTCGCCTGGGTCCTACGGGGGGAGCAGGGGGAAAACAAACCTGCCTCGCTTCTGACCACCCTCGCTTCCAAGAGATGCCAAGCGATGCCAAACTACGGCCTGTGCTGGTCAGGCCGCTTGACGAGGAAGCACGTGGTATGACTTGGCTTTGCCTGGAAGCGAAAGCGGGGTAGGTAATTCACGCTCTGAGGGAGGGGATCTCCTGACCCGGGTCAACCCAGACCCGGGTCAGCCAGGGCTTGCAGAATCCTGCAAGATCCTGCAAGACCCTGCACCCAAACCCGGGTCCATGCGAAGGATCCTGCAAGATCCTGCAGCATCCTGCACCCAAGCCCGGGTCAATGGGAGCCTGGCCCTGCAGGATCCTGCAAGATCTGGCGCTCTGGCTGACCCCCGTTTGCATCGACCCCCGTCTCAGAGCTCCCGATGAGGGACCCAGACCCCCGACGTCATGATTTTTTCATGACGCGACCCCCAGAGGTCCCGACCCCTTCCCCGGGACCGGTTTTTCGTCCTGAGTCGTTTTTTGACGGTCCCGAGGCCCGGTAAGGGCCCCCGGAGGCCGAAACTAGCGAAAAACCTCCCGTCGTGATTTTTTCACGACGCGAGGAGGTCTGGGGAGGGGGAGGAAGTGCCGGCCGCTAACCGAACCCTTTTCGCCCTGGGCAGCCCCGCGTTTGCCAGCACGAAAAAGAATATGCTTGACCCCCCCCCCCCGCCCCCCTCGGACCTGCGCGGCCGACAGACAAGGTCAGGCTTTCCTCCTCCTCCTCCTCCTCCTCCTCCTCCTCCTCCTCCTCCTCCTCCTCCTCCTCCTCCTATCCCGGGAGGGGGGAGGGAGAGGGGGGCGAGCCCGAGAACCTGGGCTATCGATTGGGGCGCACAAAGACATACTAGTACTTATATGTTCTCCTTGGCGGCGCGCGTCCGACTCGAACGTATAGTATACCCATCTTGTAGCATAGCGTTTCCCGAGCGGTGTGGCCAGAAAGCGCACGCAACGACGCATATACTATAAGATTTCTCGGTGCGCGCGTCGCCCCTGGGGGGGGACGCACACGTAGTATTAGTATGTTGGGGTGTCGCCGACCCTGAAAGAAAACACCCTCGAGGGCTGCATAAAATCGGAAAGCTGTGGCTCTTTTCTGCCAGTTTCGGCACATGTCTTTGGCCACTTTCGGCCCCCGGGGGCCCTCACCAGATCCCGAGACCGTCAACAACATCAATCATAATGATAAGTCCGTCCCAGGGAAAGGGTCGAGACATCTGAGGGTCCGCGCTGCGCGAAGATCACGACTCGGCGCTACTCCGAAGGATGTGCCTTGCAAAGGGCGTGGCTTGCAACCGGCACCCTGGGGGGCACCCGGGGGGTGCGTGCGGGGGCCTCGACAAAACTCTCCGCCGCGCCCCGCGGAGGCCCGACGAGGACAGCGTCGTACTCCCCGGGCCCCAACGGTGCCGATCGCAAACCGCACCCCGGCGTAACTCGGGCCGGGCGAAAGGGGGGGACAGCCAAAGGCGGGGGTTGAGAATCGGAGCGCGCGCGCAGCTGATTTCCCCAGCGCCTCCCGACGCCGGAAGGCGCCCAGGCATCGAGGGATGGGCTCGGCGGTGGGGCCGAAACCAGCTGCGTGCAGCAGATTTCGTAGTCCCCCCTTTTCCCTATCCCCCACCCTTTCCTATCGGCCCGAGTAGCCACACCCTCTGTGGGCGCCGAGCGACGTCGGGGGCTCGGGGGAGAGACACGGAAAGGCACCAGAGCAGACGGTCGGCAACTGCTGCTCCGCGTGCGACAGCGGCGGCCCCAGCAAGACGCTGTGCTCTGCGAGTGGAGAGGGCGTCGCTCCGCCTCGCGGGGCTAGAAGAGGAAAAAACCACATAGGCATGAACTGTTGCAGGTCCGCGCGGATTCCTTGCATCCGCGCCGGAACACCCTCCCTGGCGTGCGGAGCGCGCCATAGGGGCGGCGCCGGAGGCGCCGCGGGGGGGGGGGCCCAGGCGCGGATCCAAAAAACCCGCGCGGAACGCCAAAACAATTTAGGTTCGTGTGTTCTCCTTCGCGGGGCGGGAGGCTGGGAATGGGAGGCCTGGAACTGGGCACCAACACCAAGACAGAGGGCTGCCTCCACAGGGGGGAGGTGGTCCTAGATCTCGGTGCTGGTGGTACTATTTCGGCCACCCTGGAAGCCAGAATAGTACCACCATCGCCGAGATCGGGGTCTTCTTCCCTCGGTGGAGGCACACCGCCGATCTTGGTGTTAATGTCAAGCTCTAGGCCTGCATCGGAAACCTCGAACTCCGATGTCGTGACTTGGACGCCTGGTCGATGTCCTCCTCCTCCTCCTCCTCCTCCTCCTCCTCCTCCTCCCTCCTCCCTCCTCCCTCCTCCCTCCTCCCTCCTCCCTCCTCCCTCCTTCCTCCTCCCTCCTCCTCCTCCTCCTCCTCCTCCTCTCCTCTCTCCTCGTCCTCCTCCTCTCTCTCCTCCTCTCCTCCTCCTCCTCCTCCTCCTCCCCTCCTCCTCCTCCTCCTCCTCCTCCTCCTCCTCCTCCTCCTCCTCCTCCTCCTCCTCCTCCTCCTCGGGAGGTTGCCGCTGGGAGATCGATCGCGGCGCGGCCCGCGCGGTCCGCGCAGGAGCGTGCTGGGCCGGAGCTGGCGGCGGCGACACGCGGAGCACCAGCTTTCCCGGCCATGCTCGGAGAGCCTCTGGCCTTCTGGGAGGCCGTCTGGGCCCTTTCCGATGCCGCAGAAATCGGGGGCGCACAAGTGAAGGGGCCCTGGGACACACGCGCACACACATAAATGCAGAGGCAGAGGCAGAGGCCCGGTCAAACCAAAAGGTTGGCCCGTGAACGGGCGGGGCACGATATGGAAAAAGAGAGCAGTGCGACCTGCATGCACGATGCGAAAGAAGTGCAAGACGAGTGAGCAAGCTTTGTGCCACTGCGCACAGGGAGGGGGGGAGGGAAGGGGACGGGAGGGAGAGGGGGAGGAGGGAGAGAAAACAGGCCCGTTCTTACGCCTGCAAGCAGTACTCCACGAACGCGTCCTCGTCATCTTCTGAAATGCTTGTAGTCCACTGAGATGCTGTGTTCAGAATGTTACGCGAGAAGGACGACAGCCTGTCGTCCCATTTTGCTGGCGGGCGTCCCCGTGGCCTCGAGGCTCCATGCGCCAGTCTCCATGCGATAACGGCATGAACCCAATCAACTACTGAACCGATTGATTTCAGGGCAAGTTTGAAAAACAAAACGGCGACAAAACAGAGCGCTCCATCCGTCCATTGGAAAATGGACCAAAGCATCGCTGCCTCTGTCCCTCATGCGTCGCATGGTGTCGGCCCACTCTTCTCCGTCGACTCTTCTCCATCCAACAATTGAGCGAAGCATTTTGTTCTGAATGACATCCAAAGACTCCAGCTGTTGCTTTGTCAGAGGCAGACATACCAGCCCAAAGAAAAGAGCCGGCGTAACCACATAATGAAACAACTTGAGTCGTAAGCGAATTGGCACGTTTTGGTCTGTGAGTGCGTGACGATGTTCACGAAATTGTTGCCAAGCTCGTCGAAATTGTTGTCTTAGTTCAACTGTGGTGCGGTCCCTCAAGTTCGCCGGCAACGTCTTCCCCCAGATACTTGTGAGTGTCCATGCCGCTCATGACCTTCAGCATGTTGTTCTCGACCTCGATAAACATGGCTCCGGCCGTCTCCTCGGTAGTGACAACCTTCGTCTTGTCAGGGTTCAGGTGCAAACCAACGGCTGCCAACTCCTCCATCAGCAGTTCCAACATGTTCGCCAACTCGTCTGCCGACTGCGCGTACAGCATGATGTCATCTGCGTATCTAACATTTGTGAGCAGCCGCCCATTCCCCAGAGGGACACCAGCAGCCCCGACCCGCTGTTTCCATCTTGCCATCGCCATTTCCAGCCCAGCATTGAACAATATTGGGCTGATGACGTCTCCCTGTTTGACTCCTCGTTGTATTGGAAACGGCTGTGGCCCGGCTACGTAACCCGTCTGATTGGAGTACAACGACGCCAACAGAGCGACGTGGTCTGCATCCACGCCTTGGCTGCGCAAGGCTCGGAACAAGGAAGCATATTCGATCGGGTCGAAGGCTTTGCGCAGGTCGAGACTGGCGCACCAGAGCGGCAGGCGCCATTCGAAACATTGGCTGCAAACAACTCCAAAGACTAAGAAGGCGTCTTCTACCGAATGCTGTTTCCTGAAGCCAACCTGATCCGGCCCCTGTGAATTCCCCAGGACGGCCCGCAGCCGGTGGTATAGCATCCGAGAGAATACTTTGTAGGTCATCTTGAGGACAGCGATCGGCCTCCAATTCTTCGGTTGCGACAGGTCCCCGGTCTTGGGCAACATGGTAAGCAGAGTATCCTTCCATGACTCTTCCAGGGGTCCCGTGCGCACCATATCGTTGTACATGTGTAGCAGGTAGTCCAGGAAAGTGCTGGAAGCGTGCTTGAACATTTCTGCAACGATGCCGTCCGTGTCGGCGCCTCTCCTGTTGTTCAACACCTTGATTGCTTTGTCAAGCTCTGCCTTCGTAAACGCCGGAACGTTGAAGGGCCCTCGATGGTCCGATTGTTCCTCGGGCACTTCTTCCGAGGAGGAAAATATGTCAGCCAGAAATCCTGCTAACGCTTCAGGGGCGCATTTTGCGTCACCCAATTCCTTTCGCCTCCGTGCCGGGCCAGTCGGTGTAGGTCACGGAACTTAGTCAAAACATGTTGGGTGCGCATCGCCTTCCGTCTCCGGAGTTCGGCTCGCACTGTCCTGCGAATTCGTATGGAGATGTCTCTCCTGCCTGCATATCCGCTGGGGAGAGCACGACGCTGGCGGAGAAGATCTTAGAAAGCACTGTCGGTCCAGAAGGCCGGCTGATCGCTCGTACGTTTGTCATGCCACGGCGCAACAGTGCCCACGCAGATATCCATATCGGAAAGGCATGTTGGCGGATACGCACGCAAGTATGCATCTACATCGTGACAGTACGCACTATCATCGCCAGGCTCCCAACCTCGAGGGTCATACCTGTTTTTGCGCCTCCGTTCAGAAGTTTTGGTACGTACGCGTGCGTATACAGCCCGATGGTCGGAGCCCAAGCACGAAGAATTGACTGCTGCACTGTACTCCACCCTCGCCGTGCGCGGAAGCAAAATTTTCATCTATGCATCTTGTAACGCCCGTGCTTGACCTGAACGTCCGCAGGTCTTCGTACCGAAGCCTTAGCGGGAAATTCGTAATTTGAAAGCCGTGCGTCGCTGTAAACTCGCTCAGTCTCTGACCACGGGGCCCAATGTTGAACTGAGAGTTCCAATCCCCCCCAATCACAATGCAGCTGTTCTTATTCTGCCTTTGGGACGTGCGTATCATGCCGTCGAGGTCGTTGTAAAAAGAGTCGAAGGCATCCTGGGCAAATCCAGCATGCGGAACATATACTGCGAAGCATGTGTACAAACGACTGTGCATCACAATGTCAATACCAAGAACATGATCGCTGCATGTACGGATGTCCCCCATCTTTTCCCATATTTCCGGGGCATAAAGTATTCGTTGACTAGTTTGGGGTATGTTTTGACTATTCTTAATTGACGTCGTCCAAAATCCGCGTGTAGGTGGACACGCCCGACCTAAGTCTGGCGGGGGAAAGATCGGCGGCGAGCCTGGCGAGGCTTGGTTGGCGAGGCCTTGCGGGCGGGCTGCTTGAAAGAACGCAAGCATGGATGAGCGGTCCATGGATTTGGCGCGCGGTCGCCAAATCCATGGATCGGGGGAGGTACCCTCCCCAGAAGGCGGCCAGTGCCGCAGCGTTCGGCGGCGGACGTCCGCGATTGCTCCTGGAAACGGGGCCCGTCGCTGATCCACGCCCCTTGGTCCATCTCTGCGATCGCCGAAGAAGGCAATTCAGAAGGCTGGGGGCTTCTGGGAGGCCTCGATGGCAAGGCCTACCCCCTGTCAGCTCCCCCCGCCAGCGCGCCGCCGAGGGAAACCACCTGGCCGACTCCAGAAACCCTGGATCCACACGTGCTGTCGTCCCGCGCTCGCTTCCACCGCCCTTGCGCCGACCTGCCTCGGACCAGGGCGAGTCGAGACATCGGAAGCGCACAATCCGCACCCGAACCCCTGCCGGGGTCCAAACGCACCAGTTTTCCCGAGCTGCGTCCAGCCGTGGCGACGAGGGGGCCCCCTGGAGGCCAAGTCGTGGCGGCTTGGGCGTTGAGGACGCAACCGCTGGGAGGCCTTCGTCGGCAAGATTCAGGAGGATTAAGAGCCCCCACTTGGGAGCTGCTACGCCGGAGTGGGCCCCGGACTGAGCAGGATTGAGCCGGAGTGAGCCGGATCAAGCGGGATCGAGCCGGATTCAGCCAGGAGGAGGAGGAGGAGGAGGAGGAGGAGGAGGAGGAGGAGACGAGCGTAGAGAGGGCCGTCCTGTCTGCATACTACCTGACAAACCCGGCCCCGCCCGCGGCGCCTAGCGGCTGGGCGGCAAGGGCGGGGGCTTCCTGCCCGTCGGGCACGGGCGCGAAGTTCGGCACGTCGATGGACGCAGCCGAAAATTTATATTGTAGGCGGCTGGGCGGCGAAGCGGCGGCGATGAGCAAGGGGGGACAGGCGGGCGCAGGATCAGAACGGGGTGCCCACGACATCGTGGCCAACGGAGTGATGATGGGCGAGTGCGGGAACACGACTGCAGTAGAAGGGGGAGCAGGAGGGGAGCAAGCAGCAGCAGGAGCAGAGCACATCAACGGAGCGAAGGACGGGGGAAGAAGAGGCGACGGCGATAGGCCTTTTCCAGTTTGCCCCTCA